CTTACGAACATCAATAACATTAACGATGCGTTACTGGTAATAGAAGTAGGCGGCAAAAAAAACTTAAAACAAAAAACAAATATTTTGATATATTTATCCTCTCTTCCTCTATCTTTCCTTCAATCTTTATTCTTTTTTTTCTATCTTTCTATTTCTCTCTCTCCTTCTTTTTTTTCCTTTCCTTTTCTTTTTCTCCTTCTCTCTCTTTTTTGTCTTCTTTTCTCTGTCTCCTTCTCTTTCTCTCTCTCTCTCTCTCTCTCTCTCTCTCTCTCTCTCTCTCTCTCTCTCTCTCTCTCTAACCTTTTTTTCTACTTCTCTCTTTCTTTTTATCCTTCTCTTTCTCCTTTTTTTTTTCTTTTTGTCTTCTTCTCTCTGTCTCTTTCTCTCTCTCCTCACCTCTTTTTCCATCTCTCTTTTCTTTTTTCTCTCCTTATGCTGTCGCTCTCCATCCTTCTTCTCTTTCTTACTTTCTTTCTCTCACTCTCTCCTCTCTATCTCTCTTTCATCCTACCCACTCCCTTTTACAAATGTTTATTAGCATTGTTATGACATACGCTCGCCAGTGAATGAATAAATCAGTAACCAAATACTATTCAGTAATTTTTATCAGTAACATAATAGTATTGATGTGATTAGCTGGTTGATTGATTGATTGATTAATTGATTGATTGACTGACTGACTGACTGACTGACTGACTGACTGACTGGCTGGCTGGCTGGCTAACTGACTGACTGACTGACTGACTGACTGACTGACTGACTGACTGACTGACTGACTGACTGACTGACTGACTGACTGACTGACTGACTGACTGACTGACTGACTGACTGACTGACTGGCTGGCTGGCTGGCTGGCTGGCTGGCTGGCTGACTGACTGACTGACTGACCGACCTACCGACCGACCGACTGACTGACTGATTAGTTGATTGATTGATTAGATGATTGATTGATCATTTTAAATAGATAAAAAACATAAAGTATTCAGTTAATTAGTTAGTCAATTATTTAATTAATTAATTTATTTATTAATTTTTCATTTAAATAAATGAATCAAATTTTTTTCAAAAAATAAAATAGGCAAATCTTTATGGGAGTTGATATTGGAACAGTTTGATGATCTGCTGGTCAAGATCCTCTTACTGGCCGCCATTGTTTCATTTGTTAGCTTCTTTCATTATTTTGAGATTGCTGTTGATGTTATGTCGTTGTAGCTGTTATGTTGTTGTGGTTGTTGTTGATGTTTGTTGCTGCTGATGTTTGTTGTTGTTTATGTTTGTTGTTGTTGATGTTTGTTGATGTTGTTGTTGTTGTGGTTGTTGCTGATGTTGTTGTTGTTGTTGATGCTATTGTTGTTGTTGTTGCTGCTGCTGTAGTTTCTATGTTGTTTTTGTTTTAGCTGAAGAAGTTGTTAGTGTAGTTGTAATTGCCATATTGTCGTTGTTGTTTTTATTCTGATTTCAAATTCTTAATTCCTTAGTAGATGTCTAGTTAGTTGCTTGCATTTGTTAATGGCCCAGTGGGTATATACAGATTTTGTATCTATAAAAATATGTACGAAAAAACTTCCCTGTGTTTCCAAGAGACGTTACGTTGAAATTTATCAAATTTGATTCTAAATAGTTTAATTAGAATTGGAAACAACAATACGAATGACGTAATTATGTCGAAGTTATGACGTCATGATCACGTGATTTCAAAGGTGTTGGCCTGGTTTGAAGAGAATGACGATCAGATAACAGCATTTGTTGAGCCATTCGTCATCCTTCTCATCCTCATCGCCAATGCTGTCGTTGGCGTTTGGCAGGTTTGCTGGTTGTTTGTGTTGTTGTGTTGTTGTTTGTGTTGTTGTTGTTTGTTTAGTGAGGATTAGACCTTTACAATAAAACGCGAATGATATAGCGCCAAATGTCTTAACAGCTCTTATAACTATGTTACTACCCACAAACATACGACATACGTACAAAACTATGCGATGGATCACCTTGAATTCGATCCAGGTACCTTTAAGGTGTGTGAGTGAGTAGTTGGCACTTGGCCACAAGGATGGCACGACTTCTTAAGTTGATTTTGTATACGTTGTTATAGATTTTGGCATAAGTTATGGTTTAATTTATGTTGTTGTAGTTCCAAATGTTTTATTTCCTTTGTTGATAGGTCTTTTTGAACAATTGTTTTTCTTGTTGTTTTTGTTGTTTAAATCCGTTATTATGTATTTTGAATTTTTATTTGACATGTTTTTGTTCAATATATTCATTATTCATATCTTATCTTCATAATGTAACTTAGAAAAAACTTAAACGCTTACACAGACACACACACACGATGCAAACACACAAAAACAGACACACACACATACGTACACACACACACACACACACACACACGTACACACACACACTTTTCATCTAATGAGTAGATTGCGGCTTACGTAACATCACACAGGTACACCATTAACATGCATCTATAAAAACAACCACGATAATTATTCTCAAATAGAAATATTATAATTTGAAAAAATTATGCTATTTATAATTATTATAATTATGCTAGTAATAAAATGTATGCATTGTTATCGTGAATATTTTCAGGATTTCAGAAGGTACTAGATTCCACAGATGTTTTCATGAATAATTTTATAACTGATTGTCTTGGCATGAATGAATTATTGTTAACATTTAATTTAAATCAACATTATTACCACCATCATCATCATATTTATCATCATCTTTATCACCACCATCATCATCACCACCATCATCATCATCACCACCATCATCATCGTCATCATTATCATCATCCTCGCCACCACCATCATCACCATCAACATCTTCATCAGCATCAGCATCATCTTCATCCGCATCATCATCATCCTTTTCCTCATCATCTTCATCATGACAGGAACGCAACGCAGAGGATGCGATTGAAGCCCTGAAGGAATACGAACCGGAAATAGCGAAAGTCATAAGGAAGAACCACAAGGGTATCCAAAAGATCAAGGCCAGGGAACTGGTACCTGGAGATATTGTTGATGTGTCTGGTCAGTAGATGGTGATAATGGGGTAAAGATGATGATGACAATGATACTGATGCTGCTGAAGATGATGATGTTAAAATAGAGATACAATGACAATGATGATGATGATTTAGACGATATTGATGAGATAATGATGATAGCGTTGACGCTGCTGATGATGACGTCATGAATGTAATAATGACGTCGATGTGATTAAAGTGCGCCAAAATGTCTTCCACCATTTCCCTACATTTGATGATTACAATCCTCGACAGTGGGTGACAAGGTACCAGCCGACATTCGCCTTCTTAAGATCTTTTCCACAACGCTGCGGGTCGACCAAGCCATTCTCACTGGTTGTTATTTAACTAAATAACTTTTGTAAATTTTTTTCCAAAGTTTATCATCACTTTTGATTAAAAATATAAATAGTTAACGTTTAGGTTATATATACATATAGATAAAGCATAGGTACGTTTTTCATCTTTCTAATTCAACTTTGAGAAAAGCAGAACTGCTCATAAATTGCTTTTTTCTATCATAGTTTCAATTAAATTTTGTCATGTAAAGCTCATACATCCGAAACTACAAAACCTACTAGAAAATAGTCGTTTGTAAATTGTACGCACATCATACACACACATTATGAAGTATTTTTTGAGTTTTCGAAAAGACGCCTTCAGATTTGAATCACGTCCTCGTGCAATAGCAACGTAGAAAGCAGCACTCTTACCGTCTGAGCTAACTTCTCAACATAATAATTTTAATAATATTGATTGGAAATTTGTGGATGGAGATTTGATTAATGTACATTTTTCCTCATCTCACGGCTGAAGGAGAGAGTGTCTCAGTGTTGAAGCACACGGATCCAATACCAGATCCAAGAGCTGTCAATCAAGACAAAAAGAATATCCTTTTTTCGGTTGTTGAATTGAGATTTTTTTTTTAAACTTGAAATAATATTTCTTTCACGTGTGACGAATGATTGCTTCCGGTCAAATATTTTTTCTCTAAGTGGTATATTTTCGTAAAAATAATTTGTAAAACGTCAACAGCATCTAAATTTTTGGAAGAATAATTAAAAAAGATCAATTCAATGTGCAGTTGCATCGATTGTTGTTATATATCATACGTTCATTAATTGTACGCCAACAATAACGTGTCGTTGTTATTTATTGCGTGCTTATTAAATGTCATTATGTGTGGGATTTTGTGTGAATATCTGATATATTGCTGTTATATGCTGTTGCATTTTATCTGTGTTAGTGCTACACATATTGTAAAGTTACGTAGTTGTAATGGTATCGTTATTCATTGTGTTTATTTGATGCATTTGTGTGTATGTCTCACCACAGGGAACCAACATAGCGATAGGTAAGTGCAGAGGTGTCGTTACCGGTACGGGCCTCAATACTGAAATTGGTGAGTAGCTTGGCTGGTTGATAGGTGGCTATTTGGTTGATTGAATGGTTGGTAAGTGGCTGATTGATAGATGGCTGGTTAATTGATTGAATGGTTGTTTTAAATGATTAGATAATTAATTGATTGAAGATTGAACAATTGACCGATTGATCAATCGATTGATTGGCAGGTAAGATTCGGACGGAGATGAGTGAGACGGAAAGCGAGAAGACTCCCCTGCAGCAGAAGCTCGATGAATTCGGTCAACAACTCTCCAAGGTTTGTTCATCAGTGTTCGCCATCAGCTGCTATCAAAATGATAAGTTTAATTATTTGTATTTTATAATAAATTTCCAACTTTTTAAATTTCAGGTTTTGATTTCATCAGTGTTGTTTACGTAGTTTTAATCAAAATAGTCCAAAATATTTAAAAACTGAACACACATACACACACGCAAACATGTACAAACACGCATAAACATACATTTACACATACACCAACATAAAAACACATACCCACGCATACACACACGCAAACAAAACTACACTTACACATCAGAATACACAACTGTCCATTAACATACCAGGTGATATCCATCGTATGCATAGCCGTCTGGGCGATCAACATCGGTCACTTCAATGATCCAGCTCACGGCGGGTCTTGGATCAAGGTCAGTCTACATTTCAATAAATTTAAATATTCATTTTTCTAATCATTAATATTAATTAGTTATCATTAAAAAGTTATCAAAATATGAGGAATAATTTTGATATTAAAGGGTAGGCACTTGCGAATTTTATCTTATCATATTATCATAAAGGGCCACATTTAGCTTCTAACGGGCAAAAACTTAACGAAATAAACATAACATGCAGGTGTATGCACGCGCACACAAACACGCACGCACGCACACACACACACACACACACGCACGCACACGTAATACACAAACACCTAAACACGCATACATATTTTTTTAACCAGGGAGCGATCTACTACTTCAAAATCGCTGTAGCCCTGGCAGTTGCGGCCATCCCGGAGGGACTGCCAGCGGTCATCACGACCTGTCTGGCCTTGGGTACTCGTAGAATGGCAAAAAAGAATGCCATCGTGAGAAGTCTGCCCTCCGTCGAAACGCTGGGCTGCACCTCGGTCATCTGCTCTGACAAAACTGGAACGCTGACCACTAACCAGATGTCTGTTTGCAGGGTATCTCATTCAATGAAGATTTTTTTGAAGATAAAGTTTTTTTTCTTATTTTTAATTAAGTTAAAGTAAAAACAGATTAAAATGAAAACGCTTGTATGAAGAATAAATAATAATAACACAATCATGAACAACGCTAGGACAGTGGACAATCAATAAACGACAAACCATGAATGAAACATAAACCACAACAAACGAACACGAACAAACAAACATGAACAATCGAACAAACAAACAAATATCAGATGTTCGTATTCGGTAGCATTCAGGAGGGACAAGCATCCACCTTACAGTTTGAAATCAGTGGCTCCACATACGCCCCAGAAGGAGAAATGTTCCGAAATTTTTTTGCTATTTATTGACTATTTAATTTAAAAAATTTGTAATAGTATTTTTATTTATTCTTGTTTATTTATTTAAAATATTTTTTTTAAATGGTTCTGGAAATTGTTTGGTAAAATTTACAATATTTTTACAGTTAGCTAATTTGTCTTCGTGTTCAACTCTACATTATTATATAAATGTTTCTTACTTCAATATTTTGTTTTAAAAAGTTACATTCAAATGTTCTTATCATTATATTTGTATAAAATAATTAATAATCTTATGAATAACCTAACTAATTTATATAGTTAATAATAATTATTAATAACCATTAATGTAAAATATTTGATTGAAGCTCTCTTGGAGGTCGGACAGTGAAGTGTGGCGAGTACGATGCCTTGGTTGAACTGGCAACCATCTGCTCCATGTGCAATGACTCCAGTGTTGATTACAATGAGGTTGGGATGACGACCATGATGCGAGAGATGATGATGGTGTGCATGATGATTTTCTGCGATGGTGATTGTACCTCTATCCTCCATCTATCTCAATAGTTTTTTCCATAATCTATCTCTATGTCTTTCTTCAATTATCGCTTGGTCTGACTCTATGTGTCTTAAACTTGAAATAGCTCTTTTATAAATTAAGTGATTGATTGATTGATATTAGGTTGATTTTGTTGGCGAATATGATAATGGTGATGATTGAAAATGATTAAAAATGAGTAAATGATCCTTATTAGCATTCCTGAAAGAAATGTAATGTCACGAACTATATGGGAAAACTGAAGTCAAAACTTTAAAATAAAAAAAAATAGTCAAACTCGTCAACACAAAATGCTGCAGTCGAAAGGCATGTACGAGAAAGTTGGGGAGGCGACGGAGACTGCTCTGACGGTGCTGGTTGAGAAGATGAACGTCACTAACGTCAACAAAGTGGGATTGAATGCGAAGGAAGTGGGAACTGTTTGCAACAGAGCCATCCAGGAAACCTGGAAGAAGGAAGTTACGTTGGAGTTTTCCAGAGATAGGAAGTCCATGAGTGTCTACTGCACACCGAATGCAAACGCCAAGCATAAGTTTGGTGATGGTCCGAAGATGTTTGTCAAGGTGGCTTCGCTTTAAAAATTTTTGTTAGAGATTAAACTAGAATTAATATTAATATTTTCAAAAATTAGAGTAAAAAATTCAATAAAAATAGTTTGAAAGCCAAGTGAGGACGTATTTTGTACAGGGAGCCCCGGAAGGTTTGTTGGAGAGATGTCAGTACGTCCGTTGTGGCACTCAGAAGGTGCCGATGACCGCAGAACTGAAGGCAGAAATATACAAACACGTCAGATTCTACGGAACTGGTGCTTCTTTTTATTTTGTGGAAATTTTTCAATGTTAATTGTATGCTTGACAAATAATATTGTCTTGGACATTAAGTTTATTATCTCTTAAAATGTTAAGCTTTTTTATTAGCAATTCTTGTTTGGAATAACAAATAAAGAATGGAAAGACAGATTATTGAAAAGGCAAATGAGAGTTTCAATTGCACGCATTGAGAACAATTTTAAAGTTTAAAAAAACAATAAAAATAACTTTGCATTAGCATCTTCATTGATCATTTAAATATAACTTTCTATACGCGCCATGTGTGTCCACAAATCTGTTGAACCGACCGACGACGACCAACAGGTAGAGACACACTGCGTTGTTTGGCACTGGCAACTATTGATGCCCCGTTGAACAAAGATGAGATGAGTTTGGACGATTCAACCAAGTTTGCTAGATACGAGGTCTCGGGCGTTATTCGAATTTGTATTTTTATGGTCTGATTTACGAAGTTCTTTAGGATTTGTACTAGACTGAAATTGTTATTTTATTGAGTTTTATTATGACTAATATTTTATAATTGTTGAAAAGGAAAGTGAATATTATAAAAATTCAACATGCTTTATTAAAATAAAATAAAAATCATGTTTTTTTTTGTTTTGGTGTCAGAATTCTAGATTTTAAAAACTATTTTGTAATAACTATTTCTAGAAAAATATTTTTGTAACAGTCGCAATGTACATTCGTTGGTGTGGTCGGCATGTTGGACCCCCCTCGAAAAGAAGTGGTAGATGCCATCAAAGAGTGCAGGTTGGCCGGGATCAGAGTAATTGTCATCACTGGCGACAACAAAGTAATTCATTCATTCATTCATTTGTTCTTTTTATTAATAATTTTTCATTCATTTATTCCATAATTTATTCGTTCGTTTTAACATTCTCTCGTTCATCCCCTCCTTAATTCATTCATTCGTTCACCCATTTACTTTTTTTACTATGTTTATGTAATAATTGTAGAGATCATTGTCACCACCATTGTTACCATTTAAAATAAATGGATCGATAAATTTTGAAAAATTGACGCACAGTCAAACACACGTGCACAAACACTTTAAAAAACATACACATGAGAACTAAAAATACGTAGGAATTTAAAATAATAATAATAACAACAATAATAACAACAACAATAATAATAATAACAATAAAAACGACCACCTCAAAACGATCGAAAGGCAACAGCAGAAGCGATCTGTCGACGCATCGGCATCTTCTCTGAATCAGAAAGAACTGACGGCAAGTCGTTCACGGGCAGGGAGTTTGACGACTTCTCCCCAAAGAACCAGGCCAGGGCCGTGAGACATGCCCGCCTGTTTGCCAGAGTTGAACCTTCCCATAAGAGTAAAATTGTTGAGTACCTTCAAGCCGATGGGGAAATATCCGCCATGGTTAGGATGGTGTGGTGATGAAGATGGCTGATGACGGTGATGAGATGTGAGGTGGTTAAAAAAATTGTGATGTATAGTGGAAAACATTCGTGGCGAAAATGGAAATTTTCATACTGATGCGGATAAATATATAGAATTAGGACACGCTGATTGTGAATAACCGCGATAGTTACTAGTTGATAGTTCAGTTAAATAAAAATTAAAATTAGTAAAAAATTTTATTATTTCATAGCAAAAATTTTTATGAAGAGATTTAAAATAATATTAATTGAAACAAATTTAGACAGGAGATGGAGTGAACGATGCTCCGGCTTTGAAGAAAGCTGAGATTGGGATAGCAATGGGATCGGGAACGGCAGTTGCGAAATCGGCTTCCGAGATGGTGCTCGCAGACGACAACTTTTCGACGATCGTGGCTGCTGTGGAGGAGGGCAGAGCCATCTACAACAACATGAAGCAGTTCATTAGATATCTCATCTCATCTAATATCGGAGAGGTGGTTTTCGAACTTCGTGAGTGTTTTACATATTATTATCGCCAACATTACCACCTCACATCTCTTTTACCTTATTTTTATAAAATAGTAACACTGCTATTACTCAGATGATAATTATTACTGCTTCATCAATTTCAGGTGGTGTGCATTTTCTTAACGGCAGCCCTTGGCATGCCAGAAGCCCTCATTCCCGTGCAACTGTTATGGGTGAACCTGGTCACGGATGGTCTGCCAGCGACGGCTCTCGGATTCAACCCCCCCGATCTCGACATCATGAGCAAACCTCCAAGAAGTTCGAAGGAGCCCCTCATTAGCAACTGGTTGTTCTTTCGTTACATGGCTGTTGGCTGTTACGTCGGTAGCGCCACGGTTGGTGCTGCCGTCTGGTGGTTCACTTTGTACAGCGAAGGCCCTCAACTAAACTATTACCAAATGGTTTGTACTGCTTTGCGTGTTATGTAAAGTGCTGTCTGTAATGTTTCTTCTAGTAATTTATGCTTTTATTAGTCTGTCAATTTTACTAAAAGAAAGTTGCCGACAATTTTAAAAGAAGTTTTTGTTGTAAATTGAATTTTTAACCGAGTCTTGCCATTTGAATTTCTTTCAAGACCCACCACATGCAATGTTTGGTGCAAGATGAGAGGTTCAAAGGGGTGGAATGTGAAATTTTTGAGGACCCCCACCCTAAGACAATGGCTCTGTCCGTACTTGTGGTCATCGAAATATTCAACGCCCTTAACAGGTTCTCAATTCACGAATTTTTGTTTCAATTGTTAAATTTTTATTTAGTCAGCAAAAATAACTAATTGAATAGAAATGATTACACATTTTTTTATTTCTCATTTTGAATTTGATGATAACCTACATTCAAAGGTCACTTTTAAATTTTAATTTGAAAATTATTAATAGATTTCAATTTTATAATTATTCAAAATTTATCGCGGCAGCATTTCAGAGAATCAGTCGCTACTTGTGATGCCTCCCTGGTGCAACCTGTGGCTCGTGGCCGCCATCGCCCTCTCCATGACCTTGCACTTCCTCATTCTCGAAGTCGACTTTCTGGCTGTTAGTTTCGACATTTTCGATACGTTCCAGAAATCAGTATAAATAATTACATACAGTTATATGGTAGTTATAACTAAAAGTGTTATATTGCAGTATTACTCTTGATCTCCAAGGTTTTTTTTATCAATTAATTTAGGTAGCGCGTTAAACTTAATAGAACTTAGTTTTTTTAAACTACATTTCCAAAAATGATTAAAAGATGATGGGAGGAGTGGCTTTTTGCGTTTTAAAAATATTAAAACATAAAGCCAGTTATGTTTATATTTTGGCTGCCAGACGAGATGGTAGGTATATAACGGTTGAAGGTTTTGCCCGCGCCCACATGTCACATGCAATGTGCGTGATGCTAGAAATCTTCTCACGTATTCACACATATTGCCGTGTTGATATTTTTGAAGAATTAACAGGGGGAGTTGAAAAAATAATAAAGTAAAATGTAAAAGTGTAAAATTAATGTTTACAGAACGTATTTCAAATAACTCCCCTAAACTTGGAAGAGTGGTTTGCAGTCATCAAATTCTCCTTCCCCGTCATACTGATCGATGAGGTCCTCAAGTTCATCGCCAGGAAAGTTACCGATGGTTAGTTTCTATGGAAATTTCATTTAAACTAATTTTTTTAACAAATTAGTTGATTCAAGATTTATGAAAGATAAGGGTAGTTTAGATAATTGTTCTGTTATGATAATCATGACTGGTATATATTTTAGCTATTTTTATTTTAAATACATAGTTTGTTATGAAAATATGTTTTACGATTTGAGTTAAAAACATAAAAAACAAAGTTTTTTAACATTGCTGAACAGAAAAATATAACATTATATTTCACCGCAGTGGCTCTTGTCAACGATCCCATGGACGAAAGATGAGGAAGGTTCACGTGAAATTTAGTTTCGAACATTATTAATTATTTACGATTAAATATGAATTATTCGATAAGAGTAAGCTGTGTTGAATCAAATTTTTTCGAGCATGTTTAGTTTGTCTTAGCTGTAATTTTTTTAATCTAAATCTGCGTTTTTTGGATATTTAAAGGGAGTTTTATTAAAAAAGATTATGTTATTCATTAGCACTTGTTTTCATCAGGATGTCCGTATCCGTAGGAATAACTTTGATTTCAACGAGTTCGTATAAATGGTGTAGGTAGGCCGCTTTTATCACGTTAAACTTTGTTTTTTTTTAAATACATTTCTAAAAATAATTAAAAAATATGACAGGAAATAAAAACAGAAACTAATGTTGATGAGTTGCGTGTTCAGCAAGTTGGTCAAGGTACCATACCCCGCGTTACTAGTGCTCATGCTCACTCAACTAGTTTGAATGAAAAAAAAACTATACATTCCTCTGCCTTAAGTGCTGTGATTACGCTTACAACAAACGCGTATGCTATTTGCGTCCTATGTTGTGTATATTACATGCATGCCTTATGGTGCCATAAAGTATAATTATCTTTGCCATGTAAGAAACAATATGGAAGCATCTCTGAAGTTGACTTGTCAGAACTGTGTAATGAAGAATATTAAGAAAATAAATATTAAATAAATAAATTAAATGTGGGATCTACTTTTAGTTGTTTGTTGTTGCTAGTGTGTGTGTACGTGTGTGTGCGTGTGTGTGTGGTGGGTGTGTGACTTTTACCATTCAAATGATACGTGAATATGCACACGTGTATGTAGAGAAGACGTTCTTGTTTGCTTGGTTTGCTCGGTATGACCTGGACCAGTACCGCATATGAAGTAATTTTTGTTATGCAAAACCAAATCACAAAAAAGTCGTTGCAGTGGAGTTTTAGAGCAGAAATCGAACTATAGTATTTGAGCTCATTCAAGCGAATGCGTGACGTCGAAAGTGTTTTTGGTACTATTATTAAGGAATAGAAAGAAATTGACAAGGCAATTTTACATACTCCAGTAAAAATTTTGCTGTACCCGATATTTCTGTTAACAAGCAAAATTTAGTAAATAACCCAAATACTTCAATAGATAAATTGTAAAACTTACTTTCCTCCTTGGGGAAACATAGACAACCAATAAATTAGAGCAAAATTTACCTCATACTCATACGGACGTCTGGTGTTATTTACATTTGTTAAGGTCCTAGTTTTATTTTAATGTTTTAATATTTATCCGCTAATTTTTTAAAAACTAAATTTGCCACTAATAGCTTCATTTTAAAACAAAATATAAACATTTTTTTAATTAAATATAAAAGTTTGTTAAATAAATTTTATAAATATCACTGTACGACGAGTAAATTTTAGAAGTAAAAATTTATTTTATGCACTCGTTTCTTTGTTGAAAATGCAACGCGGTTAAAAGGCTATGTAATGAAGAAGCCACCCCTACATAGATTTTTAAGTGAGCTCCTATGAGAGGTTCGAACCAGTTTTCTGGTCAGTCAATTTATTTATTTTATTCCGTTTGATAAGATTGTTGACAGTTACAATTAATTTAATATTTACATACTTGTAAACTTTCTGAACGTTATATTGTTAGTGAATCTCCTATTATCTTAACTTTAAATATGGAAAATGAACATTCCACTTGCCATTTTAGTGAGGTGGTAGAAGGTGAAGAGAACGAAAGGCTAAATAACTCAGCAGATATTCAAACCTCTATGAACGATTCGTTCACGTCTTGCACGGGCTCCGAGAATAATAACGGTGAAAATCCATCTACTGGTTATTATGAGTCTCATAAAAAGAAAAAGTGCAGACGCAAGAGAAAGGGGGGAGAGCGCCACACTTCCTATAAGTACGGGTGGGATGAGGAGATCTATGGAAAGAGGGATGTCCCGTTCAACAAACACACAGTGCATGTGCACAAAGATTTCAATAGCAGAAATCAGACCGTTTTTCAGGTGATGACTCCAAACAACATTAATCAGTCCCTGGTGGATAACCACTACCTTCAATCCGCTCCTAGTCCATTCTTCGATCGAACAGTCAATAGAGATCATGCCATATTGCCGAAGATGTCCATCGGAGAAGATCCAACTGGTAATACTTCTGAAGAAGACAGGTCACTCAGCGATTTTTTGTACTCGAGCACGACCAGATTAATTGGTTCCGAAGTAGACTGTCAGGAGGATGACGATGAGAACATGTGCAAAGAGTTCATCAAGGAGTATGAAGACTGTCGCATGAGCATGTTGCAAGCCATGAACAAGGATGGGCTGATCAAAGAATGTCTTCGCCTCGACCTGCAACTCGAGGACAGCCAGAAGATTATCAGGAGTCTCAAGAAGAAGTATGATGATTATAACAACAACAATGTAAGTAGCAGTAATGGTGAGCCTCATGATGAAGACGCAAACCATAATGTTGAACGTTCTTCACCATCTTATCATCACCACATCACTACAAGTAAGGATCATATCATTTTTGATTGCGATTGTTATTATACTAGTAATTATTTATTAGGTTGTGGTAACAATGATAGACCTATAGAAGTTGGTTGTTGTGGTAATAGTGACAAGCAGATAACAATTACAATAGCTATCAAGTCGACTGAAATTACGGAAACGACTGCTGTGTCTCATGCCTCTGGTCACGTTGGCTAATTTACTGATAAACACGACCTCGAGGATGAACAAGATATCAGGTTTGAATTCAACATCAAATATGAATTTAGCCATGTTTAACCAATTTCTTCATATTAATTAATAATTTTACTTAATATTTTAAATCTTCGCATCAATTATGTTAATTATGACTTTTTATTGGAAAAAGCTGGTTCGTCGGACCAGCCGGTTATTTCGCCCATGTTGCCATTGATCAAGTCCTACTAAGGCCAGAATTACCATATATTTGGATCTGGCGTGTGCCAGTAACTTTGATTGTGCTAATACATTTTTTATAAATTTATATTCTATTTTGCAATTTTTATGTTTTTATATGATTTTTGTCACCTATGAGCTTGACATTTTGGTTTTGATTTAAAACTTAAATTAAAAATTAACATTTAAACTTTAAATGAAATAAATGGAATTGTTTAGAGTTTGAATGTACTTAAATAAAAATCATTCTCTAATACGATGTTCTAATACGATGAAAGCTTATTTTATGGTCTCATTCTAAAACTTGTGTGCGTGCATGTGTGTATGCATTTAAACTACATAACCCTTCATTCTATATTCTACACATTGTTATTAATTATCATTAATTGTCATTCAATTATTGATTAATATAATTATTATCTAATTAATTACCTAATTAATTATGGATTAACAGGTCGATCCAAACAACTATAGCTGGCGCAACAGTGATATAACACTGGCTCTAAGTGCAGGAGTTTCTTGCTTTTTTCTCTTTTTTTTCTTTCCAACGTGTATTGAATAGGCTTATTATTATTTGCATACATGTGCGTATGCCTAAGTTATACAACGAGAGTAGTTTTAAATTCGTACTTTTTTATGTACCTATATAAATATACCTTATATGTACCTGTTTTATTTATTTATTTTTAATTTAATTATGACGATAAACTTATTACAATTTGAACTTTCATGATTTATTATAGTGTGCAAATGAAAATTAGCCGATGTTAGCTTGCAGCTAAAAAAGTTAATATCCGCCATAAGCGTTGGTCGCCATTTTGTCAAACTAAACATTCGGTCTTGACTAATCGTATCGATATGTTTTGTCGTTTAACAGTACATTAAGAGTTTGAGCTTGTGTTTTAGGGTTTTTATCGAATACCATTCGAGATTTTCAGCGGTAATTTACTTTTATTTGGCGACTTTTCCGAGCTTATTTAATATAAATAATTTGTTATGGCGTGATAATTAAAACGAGTTTTTCGGTATCACGCTTCTTAAAATTTTGTTTTTATAAAATATGAGTTGGCAAAATAGCAACCCACGTCGTACAATAATGTACAACCTGAGTTTTTTTTATGCCTAACTCCATTTTCATGTTTTCAGTAATGACGCTACAAATAAAAACGGAAATTGCGACGTCTGCTTAGTAGTCGAATCCATTATTTTAAGTTTCTTTCCGGCCTTTAGAAATAATTTGTACTTTTTTGAATTCTTACTCCAGTGAGTAAGAAGAAGATGAAAAATTTGTTTTCAAGTGAATCTTTTTCACTTCAATTATTATTATTATTGTCATCTACACACAATACGAATACAGAGTACACACGCATGCATTATCAATCAAGTCTTGCCATTTTTTAAAATTATACTATGCTATTATAAATTCATTAGTAATCTGTGATTCATTTGTGTTTTTTCAGATTATTTCTCAATTATGTTCATTTTTTTACAAGGTTTTAATTTTTTAAACATCAAAGACTGATAAAATGTTTAATTGTTTATAAAAAAAGAGTTTAATTATTTATAAAAAAAGTAGTTTTTTATTATAATATATATATAACGTATATTCATTATATTTATATATAATGTCCTGGGCATGACATAAAACTGCATCCACGCTTCCTTGCGTGCTTTTGAGCAAAAGTCTAAGCCCACCGCTTATCACTGGTGGTTGTCGTCAGGATGGGTGTTCGGACGTAAAAACTTCCCCAAAATTATTCTATGCCATCACAAACAAAAACAACGGCCTCTAGTCCCCAGGAGGCCTTAAGTGGTCAAGGGGTGCTAAGAATTTCTTGGAAGTATGCAATAGCGAAGCGATGTTGCAGAAAAGTTCAGAATGGCCCCTCTATGGTACTTAGACTTGGAACGCTCAATTTGGATCACTGACTGACCGCAACATGGAAATCGCGTAAATTCTCGAGCGTAGAAGGATTGACATCTGCTATCTTCAGGAGACCCGAGGGAAATCGAACCGTCTGTTGAATGAAACAAATCCCATCAATGTCAACTTTGACGCTCCACCCATCGAAGGTCCGATTCCAGACATCACTGTAGAGGAGCTTAGAGAAGCTCTGAAAGCTATGAAGGATGGAAAGGCAGCAGGGCCCTCTGGACTCGCAAATGACATTATCAAAGCAGCTCTCAATTCATCAGTAACTGTGATTGTGATCGTTCTCAACTTTAATGAGTACCCACTATCTTTTGTTGATAAATCTGGAATAACGTTGAAGTTACCTTTTGACAGCTGGCTCCAAATTTGTATCAGGTATGTATTTGTGTATTTAAATTTTGTAAGATTTTTTTTTCTATTTCTGATATTTTTTTTATTCAAACAATTCAAACGGAACCACCAATAGATACCAACACACCAACCTACACACCAAACAACCACAGCAGAGCGACAACCTACAGTCACAAATATTACTGCACCAGTACAGGCAAACAAAACGCTGACGACACAGATGATAATAACAACACCAATCACCACAACCCGATTAAACTCAGCCTGTAAACATTACAATTTCATAAAATTATTGGCTTTGATATTGAGTTCTGCTACTCTGATAAGTTTGACTATTTAAAATAAAGTATAAAAACTCCGCAATGAAAAATTATCCATCCATTAACTTGAATTAACCCTTATTACTTCAACATATTTTCTAAATTATAACTATGTAAAGTTTTCGGTTGAAAATTGAATTGCCTGATAATGCTAATGTTATTTTTTTACAATAGAACACAGTGTTATACCAAATTATACAGAGAAAATATGCATTCATTTCATGTGGTCTGGTCTGTAGTCAATCACACACACTGACGCACGCCACACTCGTTTTATTCACCTCTCACAGTTGAACATCCGCTTATTAAACTAATTTGTAACAATTGTTATTTTTCATGATGGTGAGTAACAAATACGATTGTTTCCTATACATAAACACAATTAAATACGTTAATTAAATTACTTTTAATCTAAAAAAACAGTAGATTTTAGTACCTCTTAGAGTTATGTTAAACAACATATTGATTAAATTATCAGCAAATACACAAATAGACAATTTTTGAATTCACACATTGGGTTTAGTTATAATTCGAAATTTGAAATGAGATTTTCCATTCCTCTTCTTCACTGTACATGTGTCAGATTTCATCAGACGCATGCAAATGTATCCCCGACATATAGGGCATGAATTATTTTTATTCCTAAACCATTCTCGAATACAAAGTATGTGGAACGTGTGGTTACAAGGAAATTCGCGCACAAAACTTCCTTCTTCGAATTTGTTCAAACATATTACACAGCTATCGTTCCTTGATGTTTCTTTGAAATATGGCACCAAATAAATTCGCCGGTTGGAGATAGATTGAAAGAAATGGTCCCAGTGGTATATCATTCCAGTTAGAGTTTTATCCATCGTTACTACCTTTTTTGAAAAATATTTTACTGTTGGTTTATTGAAGTAAGCGTCTTGTGGGCTCTTTAACAAATGATATTGTTGTTGATTGTTTAGCAAGCGTACCTTCTTCAACCAACTACTTCCTTCTAAATATTCCGGATCCAGACATCTCTCCAGGTATTCGGACATTTCTTTCATCTCTTTCTGCGTCAATTGGTGTTTGATGCTGCATTTTGCCAGGTAGTTGAAATATATTGCCAACTTAACTCTTTTTATCCTCCGTAAAAATTGCATGAAGTACATATCCGCAAATTCATTTGCCATTGCTTCGATTTCATTCACCGATAGATCCATCTTTTGCGATCTTTGTGTAAATTTTTTACAGGCTGTGACCCTCAAGAGATATTGTCGTAGTATATATAGATATATTTAGGTAACCAAAGATAGTAAAGTAAGTTTTTACAAGCACAAAATTTACAACCAAAGATAATTAAAGATTTTAGATTTTCTTCTCTGCGGATCAACAACCACCATTACTATATTGGTATAGTTAAACCAAGTAGCAAGTAAATTTGGAATTCATAACGACAAACATATATATGTGCAAACAAGTATCAAAAATAATTTTTTAAATAATAAATTTATTTAATAATTAAATAAAAATAATTTTAATTGCGTGTGAACGTGCACGTTATCCGGTGTTCAAACCAAACGAGCCAACCAGGAAGTCAGGGTGACGTTCCTTAATATCCTTTTAGTATAGTTAGTATATTGTCGTTAAGCATTTATGATAGTGTTTTGTATACATCAAATAAGTTTTTATTGATACAAATGATTGAAATGTTTAAAATGCATGAATGAAAATAGTATAAAATAGTATAAAAAACGATAAAATCAGATCAGATGTCCCTCGGCACATGGTCTGATCTCATTTTTTTATGTTTGTTATATAGAGTTATTTTTCGCGGTTATGTAGAGTTATTTTTCGAGGTTATATAAAGTTTTATTTATTGCGCAGTTATAGAGAGATTTATTTATTGTGTGGTTATATAGAGTTTTCTTTATAGCTCAATTATAGAGAGATTTATTTATTGCCTGGTTATATAGAGTTTTATTTATTGCGTGGTTATATAGAGTTTTATTTATTGCGTGGTTATATAGACTTTTATTTATTGCGTGGTTATATAGAATTTTATTTATTGCGTGGTTATATAGAGTTTTGTTTATTGCGCGGTTATATAGAGATTTATTTATCGCGCGCAATTTATTTGTATTGTATTGTTTATTTTTTGTTCAACACAATACCAACAGCAGCAATCAAACACGACAATCAACACAATATTTTTGATATCACAAACACACATTACATTAATAAAACTTCTACTGTAAGGATCTTTTTTAAATAATTTAAAAGTCGGAAACATTTTTTCAATGCTGTGAAATAGGTATGTTAATTATTATCCTTAAATATTTAGATATTACATGTTATTTCGTCAACTCTAATTTTATCACAAATAAATATATAATATTTAATAATTTGTAAAACATGCGGTACTGGTACTGAACCGATTGATATACTGTTAGATTATTTTTAATATGAATAAAAACAAAAACACAGTTTTGATAAATTTAATCCTTTTAAACATTCATGAAATATATACTTTTGACACTAAAAAATAAAAAAAAACAACACTGGGTAAAATAATGTATACTAATATTAAATTTACTGTCAAAATGTTTATTAATCAATCAATCAATCAATAAATCAATCAATCAATCAATTAGTTTATAAAGCGCTATTTCCGCGATGTTCAACAGCGCTCCTCCAAGGGGAGGCCTATTTACCAGCATACAACACCTTCTTATGGGTTGAAGCAGGGATATGCAAAGAACCTCAATTTTTTCTACTTTTAATTATTTCCAGTAATGTCTCCCCTTGATCAATCAATTCGATCGATCAATTCGATCTATCGGTCGGGCTATTTGTCGTGCTTGGATTGTTGGCTTACGAAATTGCATGGATTTTAAAGAGCAAGCTAAATGAAATATTTACTTGATTTAATATGCTTAAAACATTGTAGTAATTCTATTTAATTTTAATAATGATTAATAGAATTATGTATTATTAAATTATTTTTGTTAATTTAAATATAAAAATTGCTTTTGGTCCGGTGAAATCCGGTGGCTTACTGAAGCCGAAGGTTGGCTTAGTAGGATTGAACTATAGTTACCCTTTTTTTTACACTATTCGATCATGTTAAAAATTGGTTTGCTTATGAAATAAACGGCCTAAATAAATCAAAATTGATATTTGAACAACTAGCTTCATTATATTCAATGAATATTTTACATTCACATGGTGCTCATAAGAAACCAGCTGCTGAAATCATACGTTGGCTTACAGCAGTGGCTTACAGGGTTTCATAGAACTCATACGATACCACTTTTTTGTACATTTAATGCTTTAAATAAATCAATATATTCATATCATAATTATTTTTGTCAGTATAAATATAGAAATTGCTTTTGTCAGGTGAAAAACAGTGGCTTACTGAAGCCGTAGGTTGGCTTAATCGGATTTTTTCTCATGTATACAATACTATGAGATAAATCAATCAAACAATCAGTCGGTCGGTCGGTCGGTCAGTCAGCCAGCCAGCCAGCCAGTCTGTCAGTCAATCAATCAACCAACCGATCAATCAACCGATCAATCAATCAACTAAATTGAATGAACCAAATAAACAAAAATAAAAACAAAAATAAATAAAAAAAATTTGCAAGGCCTGTTCAAACTCGAACAAACAGTTAACCGTACAGATCTACAAACAATTTCGATATTTTAGTAAAGAAAGAAAAACACAGTAGTTGTAAATTTTTTTTTAAAATTCGTATTTTAAATAAACAAATATAATAAAATATCGACCGATAAAAATAATTATTATCCATTATTATTATTATAAATCACACTCCTTAGAAGTTCTCGAAGGATAATAAACCACGTAACATGAACATTTAGTAAGAACAGTTCACAACATATCATAATGACTAAATCAACATACTAAACAGAAATAATTTATACATGCATATATACAATGTAAACCAAGAAATATCCAAAAATTATATAACCAATTTTAAAAAAAACTAGAAACCAGTCAACATTTAATGAATAAATAAATAGACATTATTAAAAAGATTGTTCAAAAAGGTACAATTTAAGGCGACGACGAGAATGAAATGTAGTTTGTTTTGTTGGTGTGGTGTTATGAAGCGAAAACAAACACATCACACAAAACTAGTAAGAAGTCGCAAGAATAATAGTCAGTCACCTACCTATAATAAAATTACTCTCAGGGCCCTAGCTTACTTATAAACATTGACTATCTATCGACACCATCTAAAACGTGCTGACTCCCACCACTGCCCACCTCTCATCATTCTGTAAACAAAATTTTTTTATTTGCGTAATAGTAAATGAATGTTAGAATCTTAGAAGCAAAAAAAATTAAATTATAAAATGAAAATAATGTCAAAATAAAATTTTAAAATAATAAAGTAAGTAAAATGTAAAAAAAACTTACCGTCGTCCATTCGACAAAGGCAGAATGTTGAATGAGGTCCGGTTCCTACGTTGTCCTCCAAAACTGGTGCCAGTCCTCCTCGAGGTTGTTGTCGAAACACAGCCCGTATTGATGGAGAAAGATAGAGAAAGAGTAGATTCTCATCAGAAAGCTTAGCGGTGCCTGCATCTCAAATTGCTTAATAAAAATAATCCTATCTACCTATTCAATTACCTTAACTAATCTCTATTAAATTGATAATGGTACGATAGTCGAAAGTCCCCCTTCATTCTCCCTCCTTGCACAGAGGTTCACCGACAGCCAGGGCACCGGATAGTAAACCATTGCCGTGCGGATAGTAGACTATTGCCGTGCGGATAGTAAACCATTTGCCGTCCGGAAGCCGTGCGGGTAGTAGACTATGGTCGTGCCGCATAATAAATCATTACTGTGCAGATAGTAAACCATTGCCGTCCGGATAGTAAACCATTGCCGGTTCACCACTGGCCACCAAAGCTTACTTCCGACAAGAGACTTCGAAATTCAGAGTCTATCGGCTATCGTACCCTCAACTTACCTATTTATTACAATTAAGCCCTAACTTACCTAAAATTGCAAAACTCAAGAGCCCAATTCATTGGCCAATCGGCACCCACCCCACCACCTACGTAATGCCTTGGGCTCCAACTTAGTAATAATAATATAAAACTTAAACCCTAAATCTATTAATGAGTATTTGTTACAACGTAGCCTTAACCTACCTATTCATTACATTATGGCCCTAGCTTACCTAAAATTACAAAACTCAAGAGCCCAATTCATTGGCCTTTCGGCACCCACCCCACCACCTACGTAATGCCTTGGGCTCCAACCTAATAATAATAATGTAAAACTTAATAACTAACTTACCTCTCGATACACTTACAGCGTTTATTTAATTTAAATTACAAGATTGTTCCTAGAATTAAATTATTGCTTTTAACTACCTATGAAATTAAATTACTCTCAACCTTAATAATAATAAATTAGAATGTGTAATGATAATAAAATAACGCTCAAATACTAATATGTGTTTATAAATGTATGTGTGTGTGTATAATACGCTGATGCGTGTAATGTGGGTGCGAGAAAAAACAGAAGTGATAAACTTACGCTGCCTACCTATTCAACTACATTAGTGTTGGATGCTTCCTATCTATCCTACCTATAATTAAAATTATGCCTATCTAACCTACCTATATAGCTATTTAATGTAATTGTGTGTATGTGCGTGTGCGTGTGAGCATTCTTACTTAATGTTAAATTACAGAGAAAAACAGAGAAAAAAGAATAAAACGTATCCCAGCCAGGCGTATCTTCTTTGCCACTGAATGAACGAAGGTAGCCTGACATCTTCCACAATGAATTCCTTTGGAAGCTTCAACCTGAATAAAATGGATGAAATGGAAAAATCTTATTTATTTGACTAATTTAAATGAAAATAGAAAAACGAGCCGCGGTGAATTCCGCCGGAAAAGCCAGCCAACTGGCAAAAAAAAGAACCGCAAAGAAACCGTAAAACGTACCCCAGCAGGGCGTGCATTCTTTGCCACCGAATGAACGAACGTAGCGTGACATCACAACCATTCTGATCGTCCACGATGAACTCCTCTGGAAGCTTCAACCTGAATAAATGAACCTGAAAAACCTAAATGAATGGTAAAATCTTATTTATTCAATTTAAATGAAAATAACCGAAAGAAACCGACCGGTCGGCAAAGAAAAGAGAAAAGAAGAGCAAAAAAAGATATCTATATAGGATTTATGCTCTATATAACTCTATATAACTCTATATAACCATGCATACTACCACATTCAATCAATAAAAATCCCACTAACCACCAGGAACCACCGCGTACCTGCTGAATGTATGATGTGAAACAAAACAAAAAAAAAACACAATACAAAAATCACACCACCAAGTAGAGTAAAAGAATAGGTGTCCCTAACCTACCTATGTAACTAAATTACCTTATGCCCTAGCCTACCTATATAATAAATTAATTTTTACCTCACCTACCTATGCTTCATTAACTTAACTCAAGACTCATGAAGAAAGAGAAAAAGGAGTAAAACAGAACATAAAATACTACCACACAAACAAACATGATGTATGTATGTATGTATGTATGTATGAGCAACCGTTAAAAAACCCACCTAAAATTTAAAAAATATCACCTACAAACATTCAAACCACCTACAAACATGCAAACTCTATATAACTCTATATAACACTATATAACTCTATATAACTCTATATAATAAAATAAATAAAAATAAAAAAATTTTAAAAATAAAATAAATGAGATCAGACAGACTGCTTCAAGCGAAGCAGAATGCTGATCTGATTTTCATGTTGTCTCAGCTCCTCTATTTATACTCGTTTCAACCATACATTCTCATCATTTCAATCATTCGCATCAGTAAAAAACTTGTTTAATGTATATACTGCACTATTATACAGTCTTAACCACAATGCTAACCGTACTAAATTGAAGTCATCGAACGAACGCCTTCGAAACTTTCTGGTTGGCTGGTTGAATCTGCTATATTGCTTTTCATATAAACATATAATCTAATATAATATAATTTAATTATTTCTATACGTGGATTCCATTCACTTTATATATATATAATGAAAATTCATTATAAAAGCAACAGTAATCAGTGCTATATATGTAAGCACGCAGTTCAAATTTTTCGGAGAGAATACAAAATTGTTTGAGACCACACCTTACTTAACATCCGATTCCAAGCCGAGCCAAGCCAAGCTGAGCCAATATGCATAGATTTAAAAGCGCTTTTATGTTAATATTTTGCTCGCTATATTTATATATTTTATAAATTCATTATAAAAAACAACAGTAGCCATTACTATATATGTACGCACGCGGTTCAAATTTTTCGGGGAGAATTCAAAATAGTTTGAGACCACACCTTGCTTAACATCCGATTCCAAGCCGAGCCAAGCCAAGCTGAGCCAATATGTATAGATTTATAAGCGCTTTTATGTTAAAATTTTGCTCGCTATATTTATATATTTTATAAATTCATTATAAAAAACAACAGTAGCCCTTACTATATATGTACGCACGCAGTTCAAATTTTTCGGGGAAAATTCAAAATAGTTTGAGATCACACCTTGCTTAACATCCGATTCCAAGCCGAGCCAAGCCGAGCTGAGCCAATATGCATAGATTTATAAGCGCTTCTATGTTAAAATTTAGCTCGCTATATTTATATATTTTATAAAATCTTTATAAAAACAACAGTAATCATTGCTATATATGTGCGCACGCAGTTCAAATTTTTCGAGGAGAATTCAAAATAGTTTGAGACCACACCTTGCTTAACATCCGATTCCAAGCCGAGCCAAGCCAAGCTGAGCCAATATGCATATATTTATAAGCGCTTTTATATTAAAATTTTGCTCGCTTTTTAAACGAATATCCCAATATAACAAATTTTTCCTCCTATTTTAACTTTCTTTGATGCTTTTTAATCAGTCAGGTTACAAAAATCATTATCGATATCACAATGAAATCAATTTGAATTTTTTTTTTAATTATTGATGAAATTTTTAAATTGTTGATAAAAATAACTAGTATATATAGTGTAGTAAAACGTTTAAAATTTTCTGAGAGAATTCACAATAATTTGAGACTACACCATAACACAATTGTACAATTTGAATGTGTAAATACAACATTATAAATGTATTATAACTACGTGTATATATCTATCTATTTCTTTATTTAGTTCTGTCTGTGTATATTTTGTCAAATTTATTTGATAGGAATTGAATATAACCTTCATACCGGCTGATTAACTACCATGCAGTAAGATAACTACTGTTGACACCATTTCCTCCAACGATTTCGCAACGAATTGCCCATACCATATAATTAGAATAAACTCTTTCAATCAATGTTTAAATTTTTATATTGTCATTTATTCTTTCGTTTTTGTTTCTGTACTAATTTTCGTGTCAGATACAATAATTTAGTTTATAAGTAAATTTTCATTTTCGTAGCTATACACAAACATTCCTACCTGTTGCATTTAAAAATTGCATTAATAATAAATAGAAATGAGAAAATTTCTGATGCATCTTTTCACAGGTTTATTTTCAAATTAACTTCACACTAAAATAAATGTAACAATATCCCTATACTCATTGAATAGAACTATTTTGTTTTCCAATTACATATATTTTATTTTATAGACTATTATAATTTATAATGCTATCATGGATTACCATTTTATTATTAAAAGCAATACTTAAGAAATGCACAAGTTTCTGTAACAGTTTATATAATTTCAGATTTCCTCAAAATGTAAAAATGCAAAACGATTGGATTAAGTGCATCAGACAGAAAATAAATGATTTCAAATGGCTTCCATCAAAAAATGCAAGAATATGCAGTGACCATTTCTGTAATAAAGATTATAAGGGTTATGATGGAGAAAGGAAGGTAATGCTGAAGAAAGCATTCCCATGTTTTCAAGTTAGTTATATTTATATGTCATCAGTTACACAAGGAAGCAATTCACATCATCATTGTACATTGCAACATTCTTATCTATACAAAAAATATAAAATGCATTCACCAATATTCCATGTATTTTATTAAAACTTAGAAAGGGCATAATGACATTGTGAATAATAAACCCTGCTTAGGACTGGGATCATCATCATCATACCAATCACCATTACAAGTAGAGTCAATTTTATATTAATGCTTAACAAGTTAACTAAATTGGCATAATCAAGTTTTTATATGAAATACACATCAAGTATTTAATGTAACAAATAAAGAGTTTAAAAAAATTAGAACATATGACTCTGATCAAAAATCATTCGCGTTGACACTGCATTTGTATGGGCATAAGGCATATGATTCTCTTTTGACAAATGGCTTACATCTTCCTCACTTTAGGACATTAAGAAAATAATTTTGTCATACCTGTTCAATAATTTTAATAAGATTGTTTTAAATAACTATTCTCAATGTCATTTTATTAACACTACATTAAAAGGTGGCTACAAAACATTGATGGTATGCCTGGGGTGATTTCTACAAACCTTATTGACTAATGGTGATGGGGATCCTCTGGAACTGTAGGGCCATGACATTCAATCTAGTCATGGATTGAGAAATCAATCCTTGATATATTTGATAACAAACATTTATTATAATATAAGAATGAAAAAAAGATGTAGGTGTAAGGCAAAATCTTACTGGAACTATTATTTTTAGCAATTTATGATTTATTTTTTTATTTATGACTTTATCCATTTTCAATAATACCGATATTTTTAATTATTATTATCCAAATTATACTCATGCCTATACAAATTAATTTAATTGTGGCTATTTCTATGCTTAATTATTTTATTTAATTGCCATAGGTATGCACAGCATTTAATAAATTAATGATAATAATTAATTAATCAATCAATCTTCGTTTTGCATCCAGAGACCCGGTTTCCCGAGGTAGTAATAATTAATAACACAACATTCTAAGTGCATAAAATATAATAAATTAAAAGTACAATTTTTACAAACCTCATTGGTTATGGTGATGGGGATTCTTTAAAACTGAATGATCATAATCTAACAAGTCATGGATTGATGGATCACTGGAATCACACATTATCTTTAATAAATTTAATAACAACATGTACTACAATTTAAGAATGAGGAATATTTTGTAAAACATTAAATGAAAAAAAATTTAGTTTGAATCACTCATAATTAATAAATTTTAATTAAATTGCAAGTTAGCTTGGGGAGTTTGAAGCTTGAATTGAACAAATTACAATAGTGTTTATTTTATAAAATTGATTGATAAGTTGTTTAATATATTTATTTAATTTAGTATATTTTTTATTCCCAGACCTAAGCATTGTAAATAAAAATTTTAAAACCAATCAAGCAATAGAATTTAGGATCTTAGGAACAAGTGCTGTTAGTTGTTAACTGTAGGTAGTGGTTGGTAGTTTCTAGTAGTCTAATGCTAATCTGTTAATGTTCGTTAGTGTTATCTGTTATTTATTTCAATTAGTAATTAGAATCAGTAGAGTTTAGTTTTAGCTTAATTATTAGAGTTTAGTAATTTAATTACTAATTAGTCGTCGTTTAGTGTTGTTACAGTTAATGAGTTGAGTCTTAACTTCTTAAGTAAGTGTTGTTGGTGGTTCACAAAAAATTTTTTTTATTTAAAATGCAAAAAGATACTTAACCGTCATACAGCAATATCTATCCTAAAACAGCATCTAGTACCTTTTAAAACATTTTGAAATTTTAAATAAAAGCAATTTTCCGAAATTAATAAATATACGATCGTGACTTTTGACTTGGGCGATAAAAAATCACCCTCCAATTTCCCTCCGAAAGTAAGCTCCTTGTTCGACCGTCAAAAATGAGCGAAGGCCGTTATATTTATTCTAATTATATGCGCTCCTTAATGAATTTTGAAAACAGATGGGTCTTGAGATCCGCTCTGCACTTCGCAAATGATTTATTAAACGAATAAAAACACAGAATTTCTTTTACGAGATTCGTTCGCTAACATTTATTCGATCAAATAAAATCAATACTATTTTTTTTAAGTTAAAAC